TATTCAAATAAAACAAAGTAATATATATATTTAAGTCTAATTTTTTGCAAGCTTCAATTTAGATTATAGAAAATTGAATTGTTTTGGTATTAACATATGTGTTCACTTAATATTACTTTTCCTGTGTTGGAAAAAAATTAACATGCAAAATAAAACATGTTATTTAACAAGATACTTAACCCTTTCTATGTTTTAAAACTTTAAAACTTCAAATAATAATTATACATAAATAGATAAGCTATATATACATATATACGTGTTAGGACAAATTCTTTTTATCTATCTATCTATCTATATCTGTCTATTAGCATATCTGTATTCACACAGGAAATATAAGGTATTCAACTAAACACAGAGAATCTAGAAAAATAAGCAGATAACTAAATGTGCTATCCGGGAAAAGCCAGGTGAATTCAATAAAGCAATTTGTGGCTTTATTTATGCATTTTTTATATAACTTTGTATTTTACAGAATTCAAACCATTCTCTAACAACAACAACAACTAAAACAATGGTATATATGGACAAAACTTAAATGTATAGGGGGAAAGTGCTTAATTCTATAGAAGTAAAAATATGTAAAAAGTAGGGGCATTGCTCTAGTACAGAGCCTGGAGCATGTAGGGGTTTCTGGTTTTAGATTCTCAAATAAAGCCCCATGTAGCCTCTCCTCAAAATGCCCAGGGCTCAATATAAGCATATGGGTACACTTGAGTGTTTCATTCAATGTGAGTTCAAATTATTACACTCTCTAAATTGCAATCCTGTCACTCCCTTCAGAAATATCCTGTTCAGAAGTGTTCCCTCACATTAACGGGCTTTACAGTTTCATTGACAGAGCATTGAATGGGAGCTTCCTTAGAACCAACCCGTACTGTTTAGGAGTCCATTAAATCCTAAAATTATATAAGAACTATTTTCACACAGAAATGCTGACTGTTTCCTAAAGTTAGTACTTCAACAATATTTGTGGGAAAGTCTATTGGAAACTAGAGAAGTTGTCCCTATGCCCAAATCCCACTGGTTGGTTCATGTCATTTATATTGTTTCACTGTAGGAGAAAAGTTGGATTTACTAGCTGGCCATCAAATAAAAACAGTATTAAAACTAAAAATAGTACTCTGATGAAAACTCATCAAATATTTATAAATTCTCTAAAGAAGGAAAGTGCTTAAAACCCTATCTAACAGAAAAAATAATTGAAGCAAAGTACACAATAAAAATAGGACATTTTCTATTAGTGGATATTATACATTATGGTTTTATAAGTGTCAAAGCTTTTCTCTCCATTCTTATCTTCCTTTCATAAAGGATATAATGTTAAAAATTTTTATTTTATTGAGTCTTGATGGATATATTCTCCATAATTTTCTAAATTTATAGTAGCTGTGATTGTGTTACCAGCCAGCCAGCCAGCAAAGGATTACAGGTTGACCCATGACACAAGAAGGAAAACAAACTGTCTTTATGCAGATTAACCATGGTACAAAATTTGTGGCATTCTAAAATGCAAACAGAGATGTGGAAAAGAAGAGGAACATAGCAGGCCCAGAAGACAGTTTGCTTGTCTTAGAAACTTCAGAATTTTAAGGCTAATAATTTGGGAATGATTTTCAAAAAATTCTATTTCTCCTTTTTGTCTTTGTGATAATGAATAGTATAATGCCTTGCTTGAACTATTACAGTTGATACCAAAATGCCTTTTATAGTTCTTTTCTTGTTCCTCACATTTTATTTACCAGCCAGAGCCCATTTAAAACCAAAAACACATGTCATTGCCTTGTACTCTTTTGTTCAACAATACTCCTGCTTCCCCCAACCCGACACACAAGGACAGTTGTATCCCAGGTATAATAAAGGAGAGCCCCTATGGGTTTAATTCTCATATACCTGAATGAATCTCTGGCATCATCTCTTAAATTCTTCTCCTTACTCATTTTGGCTCAGCCTCTCTGGCTTTCCTACTATTCCAAACCTCACTGCTGCTCTGTGGCCTTTGACATTGTGCTCGCCTCTACCAGGAATGCCTTTGGCTACATGCCCACGCACTCATTTCTTTCAAGTCAGTGCTGAAATACTACTCTCCAGAGAGGTATTTCCGGTCCTTCTTGTCTAAAATAACATCACCCCATGTAACTCTCTAATCACTTAGACTGTTTCAGTTTTCTCCACAGCTCTCCTTATTATCTGATTTCATGTCAAGCATCTATGCATTTATCTTATACCTTGTCAAATAGAATAGAAACCCGGTGAGTGCAGATATTTTATCCACCTTGTTCACCGCGGTATTCACCACAAATAGAAACATAACTGCTCTGGTAATTGCTTTGTAATATTTTCTGAATATATGGATGAATGAATTAAAAACTACTGAAAATAAAAGTGCCCCCTGTCAAGTTTATTGTCATTTTAATTGTTTAGGCAATGATGATCCTCAATGGCGATGCTAGTGTTTAATACCCTCCCCTGGATTGTGAGTGACACCTGTAATTTCCTTCTAGATAGAATATGGCAATAGAATATGGCAAAGGGGTTGGATTATCAGCCCCACTTTTCACCATGTTGTTTGAAATTAAGGAAATCTGGTCCAGGAGGCTCTGACTTTAGTCTCATGGCAATAAAAGATGTCAGTTCTCCAAATGAGATGTCACAATCAGGGATATCTGGCCTTTTAATATGTGATTAGCAAAATAACTTTTGTGTTCATGGGAAATACCTAATTCCTGCAAAATGTGTGGCCCAAGTTGGTAAGCCTATCTGCACTCAGGATGGCTGGCATACCATGGTGTGTGTGTGTGTGTGTGTGTGTGTAATAATGAATAAGCAAATGAATATAAATTGCCAAAAATAAAAACAAAAGCATAATATTGAGAATCAACTTGAAAAACTATTGTGGCTTTGACCAGAGCATGACATTAGACACAGACAATCTTCAACTGTGACCCACTGTGACAGCAAAGTTATTGATAGAGTTAACAGCCTGATTTCTTAGACTGTTTTGTCTATTGTACAAAAAGAAAAACTGACTCTTTTAGAGGAACTGGCACTTTAAAGGTATCTTCAGTGTTTCTTAGAAACTTGGGGATTGCAGGAAGAAATACTTGACTTCCCTCCGATAATAGCAGGAGACATTTAGTTACCGGAAAATTTTGAAAGACTAGATCATAAATATAATAGAAAAATATATTTGAAAGCAGTGTGGTAGGATAGTAAATGCTCTATCAATCAGTTTGATAAAACTAAGGATATTTTGAAGGTTTATTGATTTTTTATTTTGAATAACAAAGTACAATAATATTAGTGGCTTAAAACAGCATTCATTTATTAGTTCACGGTCTATAGATCAGAAGTTGGGAAGGGTGTGTTTGGGTTCTCTGCTCAGGCTAAATCCAAGTGGGAGCTAGTTGCATGTTCATCTGCAGTTCAAGATCCTCTTCTAAGCTCGTATCTGTCATTGGCAGGATTTATTTCCTCAGATTTGAGAACTGAATTTCTGTTTGCTTCCAGGCTGTCAGCTGAAGACTACTTTCAGCATCTAGAAGCCACTCTTAGGCCCTTGTCCTGTGGCTTCCTCCATTTCAGCAATAGGGGAGTTTCATAATGTTAAATCCCTCTCATTCCTTGACTGTCTCAGACAGTCTCTGCTGCACCCAGATAAAGAAGACTCCGCTTTGAAAGGGCACATATTAAGTTAGGCCTACCCAGACCATTTCTCAATCTTAACGTCAACTAAGTAGTAACTGGAGTTGTATCTACAAAATTTCTGTTCCACATGAGGTTGCATAAGCATGTGAGTAATATCTCATTGGAGGAAAGATCATGGGAGCCACCCTAGAATTCTGCCTACCGCAGAAAGCAAAATACAAAAGACGAAAAGCACAGGGTTTTACTTCTCTTGGTCTATTATTAGTGATTTCCAATATTGATCAGTAATATTATGCTTAAGAAGAATAATAGTGTGCTTAAATATTTGACAGCTAATTGCTATATGAATAAATTGCAATTAGCAATGAGCTCAAAATCATCATAAAAATTAAAATAATGTAAAAAAGTTATGTCAATTTGCAGTCTATCTATTAATCTTAATATATCTTACCTAGAATTCAAGTAATGAAAAGTTGGTACATGATAATAGTGTTAATCCAGTGAAATATATGTTAGATAGGAACATGTATAGTACACTAGTCAACTTGCATCCAGCAACAATGTAGAATGACAACCATAAAAAGCTTTACAGACTTGCAATAAAATTTTCTACTTAGGTGCAGTATTCATATTTGTGAAAGGCAGCATTTATAATTTAAGAAAAGGGAAATTGGGAAATACGTCCATTCGTGTATTTCAAAGCAAAATGTATTATTAATTTTATTACATAAGTAGATTAATTTGCTTGGAGAACAAATTTCCTCTCTTTGGAATTACATTATTTTTTTATTTACCCTTAGGGGAAAAACATTAAAAACAATTATACTTGTAAATATATATTAAAACTGAATCAGAACAGATTAAGTGTAGAAGTTAAGTAAGCTTCATATTTACTTAGTAAAGAAAAACTATTGAATTAGGAAATTTTCTTCTGACAAAATAAATCATAAATATGTTGATGCTGCATTTGTTTGAACTAGAGTTTGTGTCTATTTTTAAATGCCTTTACTGAGAAATAATTTATTCACCGAAACACACTCACATTAATGTTCCATTTGCTCTTTTAGGATTAATTTGGAGTTTAGTCATATATTTTATGAATATGTTTGATTTTTTCCCATTTTTTCTTATGTTCTCTTTAAAGAATAATTACTGTTCACTTGTTTAGTATAGCATATTCAGTGGAAAATGTTCAACTGACAAAAATACAACAAATAATGAGTAAATGTAATACAAAAATGCAAATATATCTGATTTTTAGTTGTAATCCATGTAGATGCAACTGATTAATAGTAGTGTCTTTTCTCTTTGGCCTGACCAGTGCAGCTATAAATTATAATAAAAGAATAATACTTATGGCCTATGGAAATAATAAGGAACCATCTCTTTTTGCTGTTGCCAAATTGTTAGAAATGGGTCTAGTTGGGCACCTGGGTGGCTCAGTTGGTTGAGCGACTGCCTTTGGGTCAGGTCATGATCCTGGAGTCCCGGGATCGAGTCCCACATCGGGCTCCCTGCTCAGCGGGGAGTCTGCTTCTCCCTCCGACCCTCTTCCCTCTCGTGCTCTCTATCTCTCATTCTCTCTCTCTCAAATAAATAAATAAAATCTTAAAAAAAAAAAAAAAGAAAGAAAGAAAGAAATGGGTCTAGTTAACATGCACCAAATAGAAATTCTTTGGAGACCTCTACCTGGCCATCTACTTGAGGTCTGCCAGCATCCAAACTCTCAAATGAGAGAATGGGGAGCAGAAGCTTTAACTTCACTTATTAAAGCAGGATTAACATTTAACCATGATCCTCCACTTTCACAAAACCAGAGGCTGCAGTTGCTTTTATTGAACCCATTAAAGGAGATGTCTAGTATTAACCATCCAGATACCCGACTCAAGCAATTAGAATGTGTGCTGCACATTCTTCAGAGTCAGGGAGACAGTCTTGGACCTGAATGGCCATTAGTACTTGTAGTCATGGGAGCAATCAGAAATGATCAAGGAGAATCCTTGATACGAACTGCATTCCAGTGTCTTCAGTTGGTCATGACAGATTTTCTACCAGCAATGCCTTGTACGTGCCTGCAGATTGTTGTAGATGTTGCAGGTAGCTTTGGACTTCATAACCAAGAATTTAATATTAGTTTGACTTCAATAGGTTTATTGTGGAATATTTCAGATTATTTTTTCCAAAGAGGAGAAACTATTGAAAAAGAATTAAATAAAGAAGAGGCAGCCCAGCAAAAGCAGGCAGAAGAGAAAGGAGTTGTTTTAAATCGGCCTTTCCATCCTGCACCACCTTTTGATTGCTTGTGGTTGTGTCTTTATGCAAACTTGGGTGAACTCTGTGTGGACCCCCGTCCTGCTGTGAGGAAGAGTGCAGGACAAACTCTGTTTTCAACAACTGGTGCACATGGAACTTCATTACAGCAGTCAACATGGCACACTGTTATTTGGAAGGTTCTTTTTCATCTACTGGACCAAGTTTGGGAGTCTTCTACCACCGCAGACAAAGAAAAGATTGAGTCTGGGGGTGGCAGTATTCTCATTCATCATTCAAGGGACACGGCAGAGAAGCAGTGGGCAGAGACCTGGGTTTTAACATTGGCCGGAGTAGCAAGAATCTTTAACACTAGAAGATACTTACTGCAACCTTTAGGAGATTTTTCAAGAGCATGGGATGTTCTTCTTGACCATATACAGTCAGCAGCACTCAGCAAAAACAACGGAGTGTCTCTGGCTGCACTGAAAAGCTTCCAGAAAATTTTACAGATTGTGTCCCCCGTCAGAGACTCAGATAAGCCCGAGACACCACCAGCAGTTAATGTACCTGTGCCTGTCCTTATAGGGTCCATATCAGGCCCTGGCCTGAACAGGCAATTTGTAAGAACAGATTCCGTTGGAGAGAGACTTGGAAGATATAGTAGCTCTGAGCCACCCATAGTTACCAATGAGCTTGAAGATTTGGATCTCTGGTGGGCTGCATGGAATACCTGGTATAGAATCAGATTGGAAAGCACTAAGCCTCCTGTTACTTTTGACAAACTGACTTCCATTCCCAGCCAGCCTTTCCTTACCGCTTTAATTCAGATATTTCCAGCTCTCTACCAATACATAAAAACTGGTTTCAACATGGATGACTTGCAAAAGCTGGGAGTCATATTACACAGTGCTGTGTCAGTCCCAATAAGTTCAGATGCATCCCCTTTCACTCTTCCATCTTATACTGAAGCAATTTTGACAAGTTTACAGGAAGCTGTGCTTACAGCTTTAGATGTTCTCCAAAAGGCCATCTGCGTGGGGCCAGAAAATGTGCAGGTAATGTATCCAGCTATATTTGACCAGTTATTGGCATCTGTGGAATTTTCCTGTAAACCTCAACAGTATGGACAGCTAGAAACCAAGCATATTGCAAATGCAAAATATAATCAGGCAGAATGGGTAGACTTGAATTAGGTACCATTTGCTGAAAGGTCTTTTTTTTTTTTTTAAAGATTTTATTTATTTATTTGAGAGAGAGAGAATGACAGATAGAAAGCACGAGAGGGAAGAGGGCCAGAGGGAGAAGCAGACTCCCCGCTGAACAGGAAGCCCGATGTGGGACTCGATCCCGGGACTCCAGGATCATGACCTGAACCGAAGGCAGTTGCTTAACCAACTGAGCCACCCAGGCGCCCTTGCTGGAAGGTCTTTAGAAGTAGTTGTGGATTTATACCAAAAAAACAGCCTGTCACAAAGCAGTCGTGAATGAGAAGGTACTCCAGAATATTATTAAGACACTTAGGGTTCCTCTCAGTTTGAAATATTCCTGCCCTTCTGAAAGCACATGGAGATTAGCAGTATCTTCTCTCCTCAAAGTTCTTTCTATTGGGCTACCTGTTGCCTGGCGGCATGCTTCTTCTGGAAAATTTGACAGTATGTGGCCAGAACTAGCCAACACTTTTTAAGACTTTCTCTTTACTAAAAGCATATCTCCAGATAATCTCTCTATTCAAAAATTTCAAAGAAATGAAAGTATTGATGTTGAGGTAGTTCAGCTTATCAGCACTGAGATACTACCTTATGCCAATTTTATTCCTAAGGAATTTGTCGGTCAGATAATGACTATGCTTAATAAGGGCTCAATACATTCTCAGTCATCTTCATTTACAGAAGCAGAGACTGATATTCGTTTGAGAGAGGAATTTTCTAAAATGTGTTTTGAAACATTGCTCCAGTTTTCCTTCAGTAACAAAGTCACAACACCTCAAGAAGACTACATCTCACGAATGGCACTCTCAGTGCTTTTAAAGAGATCTCAAGATGTGCTGCATCGTTATATAGAGGATGAAAGATTAAGTGGTAAATGCCCTCTTCCAAGGCAACAAGTAACAGAAATCATATTTGTTTTAAAAGCAGTCAATACTCTCACTGATTCACTTAAGAAAACTCAGCTTGAGAATGTTGGTGGAAATACCTGGGCACAAGTGATTGCTTTATACCCAACTTTAGTAGAATGCATCACCTGCTAATCTGCAGAAGTCTGCTCTGCACTTAAAGAGGCACTAGTTCCTTTTAAGGATTTCATGCAACCACCAGCATCCAAAGTTCAAAATGGAGAATCTTGGCCAGCTACAATAATTTTAAAGAAGAAAGCTATCTCAAGAATGTTTGATCCTCAGTGAGTCTTCTATGAGAAGGACATTTCTTACTACAAATAATTCTTGGCAGCTGGTGTTGGCCTCCTTTAAATTATATTTACCTGAGTTCAATAATTCATATTACAAGCTTACATGTCAACAAAGGCTCCTGAATGAGTAGCAGTGGAAGCCTTTAGTAAGTTAAGCTGATGGAGAGTTAATAATACTACATCATACCTGCTACTTTATCTTCAACTGGTGATTTAAAAGTGAGCTTATGTACAGTTTGTGGTATATGTGTTAACGATGCACTTTTTAAAAAGAAAGAAAAGATATTTCATTCAGTCAGATTTATTAGGCTGGTGTTTTTGCACCCTTTTTCAAGTATAAAATTGTACTAAAATTTTATGCAAGATGGTACTGTAACATTCCATATTATCTATAACCAGCCTTGTAAACAGAGGGAACTGATAATACCTATCTATCTAAATTTATAAATAAATTATAAAAATATATAATATTTATTTTAAAATTTAAAAATTCAGTTAAATAGCCCAGTTATTCAAAGTATATGATGATTTCTTTATCAAATCTAAAGATTTCACATTGTAAGCATTTTAGAAAATGTCCATAGATTTGTGCTAAGTTTCATAGCAAGACCATCTCATGCCTGATTTGCCTAATAAGTGTAATACTTTACTTGGATTGAAAGTAAAAATTTTGAAAGTTAAATATATATACATATGTATGACTCTGACAACATTCCCAAGAGAAATTAAGACTTTGATTTTTATTATTTAGAAGACTTATGGTCTCTGCTACATGGTATCTGCTCAGTTGCTCTTTGTAGAGTCCCACCACGACTTCCTTCTTAGTAATCACTTATTTCATGTTAAATATCTACTTTTTTTTAAGGTTTTATTTATTTGCCAGAATGACAGAGAGAGAGCGTGAGAGAGCAAAAGCAGGGGGAGTGGCAGGCAGAGGGAGACGAGGTTCCTTGCCAAGCAAGGAGCCCGATGTGGGACTCGTTCCCAGGACCCTGGGATCATGACCCCAAGCTGAAGGCAGACGCTTAACTGACTGAGCCACCCAAGTGTCCCTTAAATATCTACTTTTAAAAGTATCCTAGTATTTTGTATTTATGTGTATGGCCTCTTCTTCCAAGGTCAAAAGTTGTGCTTGAAGATAAAATGAAGAAATAATGGACTGACATTAGAAAAATGGTAGAGTAGGCAGCTCCAAACTTATTCTTTCACAGACAAAATGGAAGAAAAAAAGCAGAAACTATCAAACCAACATCGTTAGAGCTTTGGAAAACAGTAAAAGATTTACAGCAACTAAGAACATGCCGAATCATGAACAAGGCAACTTGGAAATGCTAGGAAGGATTTTTGCCATTTTTAATTGACCTTGACTTACTCCCTACCTGTTTCAGTGGCAGTATTCAAATAGCAGCAGTCTGTGTTCTCAGTGTGGGACTATGGTTTCTGGTTTTGGAGAGGCCGGAGCACACTTATTTGCAAATTTATATATGTAATTTGTTCAACTGCTCTGGGAGCTTCCTGATGAACTGACACAAGGTACTCATCTTGTATGCTTAACTCAGAATTTAGGCTGGAAAAGTAGTAGGCACTGCTCAGAAATGCCACAAGTGAACTAACAACCAAAATATACCTGAAAGGTAAGATTATGGTCAAGGCATAAATAGCCAAGAGCCAAGAAAGAAAAGCTGTGGGGATTTTTTTTTTTTTTTTTGGAGGGGGTGGAATTTAAGGCATTCAAAAATGCCTATTGAGGAATTTAGAAAGTGCCTATGGAGAAATTTAGAGATATGTGCATGCCCCAGGCAACACACATGCTCAGAAAAGACCTTGCAAGACCCTTAACTGATATGTTAGCTTGATTCTTCTGTTTTGTTATTTTTAAAAGATTTTATTTATTTATTTGTCAGAAAGAGGCAGAGATTGAGCGCAAGCAGTGGGAGGGGCAGAGGCAGAGGGAGAAGCAGGCTCCCCACTCTGAGCAGGGAGCCTGATGCAGGACTCAATCCCAGGACCCTAGAACCATGACCTGAGCCGAAGACAGATGCTTCACCAACTGAGCCACCCAGGCACCCCTCCTCTGTTCTTTGGAAACCTAAATAAGTGTTTGAGTACCTCCGCACTGAACCAATCTGGAAAAACAGAGGAGAGGTATTACTTTGGGTTTTTTCTGTTGTTGTTTTCAGTGTGTGTGTGTGTGTGTGTTTTAATTCCTTGCATCCAAGGAAGTCTCTCTTAAAACATGAGCTAAGGGAAGAGAGACTTCAGTGACCACAGAAAAGATAGAATCCACTCTGTGCAAAAATAGTTTAAAAAAGTTAATAAATCTTTAGTACTCAAAACATAGCCAACATGGGGGAGGGAAAAATCTTATTTTCAGAGTTACCAGACTAGAATATTAAAATGTGCATTTTCCAATAAAAAAATATCATAGCCATAACAAGAAACAGAAACACCACTCATTCAGGGGGAAAAAAATAGATTGATAGAAACCATCCCTGAGGAAGAAGCCTAGACAACTTGCTAGATAAAAACTTTAAAACAACTATCTTAAATATACTCAAAGAACTAAAGAAAAAATATTGAAAAATGACCAAATGATAGAGGAACAAAATGAATATATTGATAAAGAGATAGGAATTATAAAAAGGAATCAAACAGAAATTTTGAACCTGTAAAGTACAATATTTGAATTGAAAATTTCACTAGAGGAGCACAACATAAGATTTGAACAGGCAGAAAAAAGTATCAACAATCTTGATGATAGGATTATTGAAATTATCATGTCTGAAGAGCAGAAAGTAAAAAAGAATGAAAGAAAGTGAAATAAAGGATGAAGAGACCTGTGACACACCATCAAGTGGTCCAATGCACACATTGGGGAAGTCCCAGAAATAGATTACAGAGAGAAATACAGAAACAGGAACAGAGAGAAAATTTAAATAAATAATGGCCAAAAGTTTTCCAAATTTGATAAATGTCATGAATCTACAAATCCAAGAAGCTTAAAATGGGTATATAGGATAAACTTAAAGAGACCTACACCAAGGCACATTGTAATGACAATATTGGAAGTCAAAATAGATAATTTTGAAATCTGCACTAGGAAAGAGACTCATCACTTACAAGGGGTATATGATAAGAATAAGAGGGGGCACCTGGGTGGCTCAGTTGGTTAAGCGACTGCCTTCGGCTCAGGTCATGATCCTGGAGTCCCGGGATCGAGTCCCGCATCGGGCTCCCTGCTCAGCAGGGAGTCTGCTTCTCCCTCTGACCCTCCCCTCTCTCATGCTCTCTCTCTCTCTCTCATTCTCTCTCTCAAATAAATAAAATCTTTAAAAAAAAAAGAATAAGAGAAGGTTCCTCATCTGAAACTATGGAACCCACAAAACAGTGGGATAACATATAAAAAAGGCTGGAAAAAAAAGCAGAACTTTTCAACCAAGAATTCTGTGTCTGGCAAACTGTCTTTTGAGAATGAGGGAAAATTTAAGACACTCACAAATAAATACAGGCTGAGGAAATTTGTTACCATTAACTTTGCCCCAAAGAAATGCAAGAAGGGGTTCTTTGCCTTGAAATGAAAGGGCATTAAACAGTAAATCAGAGTCCTACAAAGAAGTGAAGATATCCTATAATGTAACAACATATATAAATGTATATAAAAGCTGGCATTATTGTATTTTTGCTTTGTAACTCTTTTATTTTCTACCTAATTTAGATAGGTGTATGAAAATAATCATAAATCTATGTTGTAGGGGACAAAATGCGTGAAGATGTCATTTGTGAAAACAGTAACATAAAGGAAGGCAGATTTATATAAGATTAGAACTTTTATATGCTATTAAAGTGAAGTTCATAGCAGTTTAAATTATATTCTTTCAAATTTAGGATATTAAATATAATCCACATGGTAAACACAAAGAAAATACCTAAATAATATACACAAAAGGAAATGAGAAAGAAATCAAAATAGCTCAATACAAAAAAACAACTAAACACAAATTAAGTCACTAATGGAGTATGCAAGGGACAACAAAGATCTAACATACCAAACAGATAGCAAAATAACAGAAGTAAGTTTTTCCTCATAAGTATTTTTATGTAAATGAATTCAACTCTCCAATCAGAAGTCAGATATTGCAAAATGCATTAAAAAAACTATGATCCAAAGACATATTTTCTATAAAAGATTCAATTCTGATGCAAAGACACAAATAGGTGAAAGTGAAAATATTAAAAAAGATATTCCATGCAAATATTAACCAAAACAGAGCTGGGTTGTTGTACTAATAACAAACAAAGTAGACTTAAAGTAAAAAACTATTGCACGAGACCAAGAAAGATATGAGATATTGATAAATGTTATCAACTCATCAGAAAGACATAACAATTATAAACATATATGCACTGAACAATACAGTCCAAAAACATATAAAGTAAACATCGCAAAATATAAGAAGCAAATATTGACAAAATTAAAAGGAAAAATAGACAGTTTTACAATAATTGGAGACAATCAATATACCACTTTCAAGGAAAGCAAGAACATTTAGACAGGAGATTACTTATTATTTTTATCACTTATTATTTATAAAATGCTTTATCAATAGTGTAGGCTTAAGTGATGCTAATGATGGACTACATATTGTCTAAAGTTTCTACAGTTTCTAAATTTCTGCGATCTATACCCACTTTTTCTTTTGCCTTTCATGATTCTTTCTTTGCTTCTTTTCAGTGTGTCTATGATTATCAGTTGTAAAACTTTTGTCATTCATTATGACTCCAAGTCTATGTGGCAATATGAAAGAAATGGAAGAAATAGAGATGAGATAAATAATAAAAAATATAAGCTTGTTGTTTTGGTTTTAATCATTGCCTAAGAAAACTAGAATTTTAGCTTCCAAATTTGTATTTTTTGATGTTTCATGCTGTTTACCTTTAGGTTATACATTCAATGATCATTTGTATTTACTATTTATGGATTCTTATTTCAAATGT